CACGACAGACGCAGACGCAGGATACAGCACGGCGTCACAAAGGAAGGGATGATTAACACTGTAAAATACATGAAAAGAATATTGTACTGTCTGTATTATTTTTCACAGACTCCTCCAATGCCAGGGCTGAAAGGAATCATAGCCATAATTTAACACATGCGTGCGTGCACACACGCGCCCTGAATCACCAAATGGAATAGTGTTTGAAGGAGATAACCTCTGGAAGATCCCTTTAAGCTCTCAATTTAACTTTCCGGCATACAAAGCAATGCTATAGTGCACTGTAGAGACCATAAGCCACTCATGAAAAGAGATTAGTAGGAACTGAATTGCTAGCTGATTTTTAATTCCACTCAGACCCAGAGAGGGAGCTTGTTTTCCAAAGGCCCGGGAACCTCTGGAAGGCTCAGAGCCCTTGAGCCTGAATGATAACTGCATGGAAATCACTTTAAGAGACAATGCTCCGAAGGCCACAGAGTTGCTTTCGCAGAAAACACGTCCTTTCCTCAGGATACCATGTTCCAAAGGACTCGAGCGCCCCAACCCGCCGATGCACACAGGCCAAGCCAGAGAAGCGACGTGGAATGCGGGGGAACAGCATCTCCACCTGCGGAGATTCTGTGTCTCCCACACAAGCCGGAGGGGCTTGCGTCTGATGGTCTACATCAGCCATGACGGTTTCCTCCTAAATCATTCAAGCTGCTTGCATGACTGGGCCTTTGTTTCTGGAAAGCGGAGATTTCTTCCCTGCTCCAGGGCTGTGGATGGTCTTCGTGAGGCCCATGAACACCCCAAGCTGCCTGTGAGCTGCGTGTGAGGGGATCCCCAGCTCTTCCCAGGTTCTCAAGGACGACGGTGAGCCACAGGAGTTTAAGAACACATCCGTCCTTGCACGCGTGTATTAAATGTTAACCCATTGCCCTGGGTGTGTGTGTGTGTGTGTGTGTGTGTGTGTGTCCTCACACGCCAGAAACCTCCAGAGGACAGGACACTCGCTAACAAGCTCTCCTTTTACTTCCACATTAAAAAAAGAAAAAAAAAATTAACAAAATGTCATCCCCAGGACATATAAAACTGAACCAGCAAAGATAAAAAAAACTTCACAAAAAATCAATTATCCTTTTAGTCATTGTGAAAAGTCTATCTTCAAGCCCAGAGTCTCGGGGAACGTCAAAGCTCTAGTTAAATTTTTAATAAAGTATAAAGGATAGCGTTAAAAAAGAAACCTTTTCAAAGGTCAGCTGGCGACAGATAAGCTCTCGATATGGTTCCCATCAAAGGGCAGGAAGCTGGACGGGAGTTAGCAGCCCGAGGCTCTGGGGATGGGCCCCAGGGGGGCCTCGGAGACTCGTCTACTTGCAGTTAGACCCTGGTGACGTCGTCGGCGCCAGGGCTTGCAACGACACCTACGTGCCGACAACTCATGCCCGGTCCGAACTTCTCTCTGCCACCCAGACTCTGCTCCCGTCTCCCAACTCATATGTGCAACTACCTGATCGGCGTCTCCCCTCGAATGTCTGCCGACAACCAAACCTCACCATCCAAAGTCGAGTTGTTGATGTGCCCTTCTAAAACCTGCCCCCGTGAGGTCTTCCCCATCCCAGCTGGTGGCGACTCCATGCTTGCAGCCGGTCAGCCCCGAAACGTCGGGGTCCTTCCTGGCTCCCGTCTTTGTCCACACCCCCCGTCTGCTGCATCAGCAAACCCCACGGCTCTACCCTGAGTGGACGCCAAGATGGGGGCCCTTGTCAGTGCCTCTGGCATACCTGTCCTAGTCTCAGCCACCTCTGTTTGCAGCTCGCATTCCTACCATGGCCTCTGCCCGGTCTCCCCGCGGCCGCCCTCGCCGCTCCTGGGTCCAGTCTGAATTCAGTGCCTAGAGAGAAGCTTGGGAAGCACAATTCAGATCATATGCCTCTCTGCTCAAAACCCTGGGGTGGCCCATCTCCTAGAGTAAAAAGGAAAATCCTTACAATGCCTGTGAGCTCCACCTGGGTCAGGGCTGACCTCTCTGTCCTCACTTTGTGCCTCTCCCTCCCACTGACCCTACTCCTACTCCATGCTGGACTCCTGGCTACTCCTCGGGGGTCCAGACGGGCTTCTGCCTCAGGGCCCTTGCACTGGCCGCTGCCTCTGCCTGGAACTCACTCTGCCCCAGAGAGCCGCATGTCTAACTCAAATGCAAGGTCTCAGTGAGACCCACCCTGACCACTCTATTTAAAATTGCACCTCCTTTCTGTAACACCTTAGCATCTCATCAGCCCTGCTGGACTTGTCCATTCTTTATAGCCCCAACCACCTTCAAACATAACATATAATCCACTTACTAATATTATGTTCATTGTCTATCCCCCTGCTATAATGTTAGTTACGGGAGGCTAGGGATCTTGGTCTGCTTTATGACTGACATAACTCAAGTACCTAGAATTCATTACTAAAATGCAATTCAGAAAAAGGCAAGACTGGGGAAGAAATTTACCCTCAAACTTCTCGATCCAGCAAGCTAGATGCTCCCCAGGTCATGGACCGTTACACTGGGCTTCTGATGAAGCCAAATCAGCTGAGGTTCCTACGAGCCACTCAACCCTCATTTCAAAAGACACTTCCACATTCACCATAATAGGGACACAGGTTGAACATGAACTTGGGAATGCCAAGGATCCAGAAGAAGGCCTATTGTCAGGGAAGAAGCAACCTTTGAATTCGTGCTGATTGTGGATCATCAAATGTTGGTGTCATCCCATGCACCTTCCTGCTAACACACTTTTGTTTCTGGCCTTAATCCAAGCTCTCACTGAAGTCAATAAACATTTAAAGATGTGAACTCTGATTCTCCCTAACCTTCTGTCAAAATGAGCCAGGACACAGTCCCAGTTGAGTCCATGGGAACACAGAAGGGTAGAGGCAGGTGGGAGATAGGAAGGGCTTCCTCAGAGGAAAGTTTATTCCTGGCTTCTCAAAGCCCTGTGCTATGAAATCTGGATTTTAGAACACTTTCGTATTCTTCAGGGAGACAGAGAATCACAACGGGATACCTCAAGCCAGTAGAGTCATCTTATGTGACTGTAAACCCAATGGACAGATCTTTATTCATTTTCAACTGGTTAGAGAAACCTTGAGGGGCAGAAAGATCGCTACTATTACGACTGAAAAGACAGGTAAGTACCTTCTCTTCTCTACTGAGTAGGATTTAACAGGTTGCAGCCAACTGTGGAGGTTTTTCAAGCTGTCTTCTGCCAAGCCCTAGGTCTTCCAGTGAGCTTGCTAAGAGTCTGGGGGTGAATGTGGTCAGACTCTTCCACCAGGACAAATCTGCCTGTGGTCAGCTTTGTGTGTTGGGGTCCCCCATAAGACTTGGTCTCAAGGAATATTGAATAGCAAGCTTTAGAAAAACCAGAGAGTCTGCCCATGACCCAAAGGGAAAGAGCCAACAGGGAAATGAGAGAAACACGCTGAAGAAAAACTGGGGGGCAAACCAGCCTATACAATCATATGATAGAACTTCCCAAGACCAGGATACAAATAATAAGGACTGTGCTTCTCATCTAGGGGAAGACCTGAGCTTTATTGGTTGGAAACAGAGGGCCTGGGTGGCTCAGTTGGTTATGCAGCTGGCTCAGGTCATGATCTTGGGGTCCTGGGATCGAGCCCCACATCAGGCTCTGTGCTCAGCGCAGAGTCTGCTTGTCCCTCTCCCTCTGCCTCTCCCCCCTGCTCACGCACTCTCTCTCTAAAATAACTAAATGGACAAAATCTTTTTAAAAAAGCAATTGGAAACATAGTGTTCTAGACAGGTTTAGTATAGTATGTACTGGAATATATAACATATCAAAATTTTCATTCTTTAAAAATGACCAAAAAAACACACAAAAGTCCTCATTGTACAAGCAGAAGGATATTGAATTACCCAGAGAGGAATAAGTTCGGTTTGGCCATGGCCTTAGACCCCCCAGTATTGAAGCCAGAGGATCATGGAGCAACATCTACAAGAGCTTCGAAGAGAAGAACGTGCCTCTGGTCACTGCCCCATAATGGGGTGATGGGTTTGGCATTATGAACAGTGCAAAGAGCTCAGATAATATCTGTATCACCCGGGAACATTCCCTCAGCGAGGTTATTCCTAGAACTTGAGTTCCAGCACAACCAGTGATGGATCAGAACGTTGAAGAACTCAAGCCTGAGGAAGTCACAGCCGGAAGGGAGAACAGGACCATTATTAATGCTAATTACCGTTACCATTTTCCAAATGCTCATGTGGTCCAAGTACTACAACAAAATCTGTGTATGTGTGTGTGCATGCGCACTACAGCATCTCATTTAAGTATCGAAATAAAATGTAATTCATTTTGCAAATGACATCCTGCTTCTCTCAGTAGTAGCTTTGTGCCCATTTCACAGACGAGAAAACCAAGGCTCAGAGAGCTCAGGTAACTTGTCCAGATACACGAGCGAGTAAGTGGCTGAGCTGGAATTCCAAGATGTGACCCAAGGAGTTCCTCAGGTTCCCTCAATTTATTTTTTTTTAAGAATATCTTTATTCTTTTTTATGCGTATCTGTGTTTTCTTGTCACTCTAAGTGAAGCATAATATTATTTTGAAATAGAATGCCAACACATTTTGTTCAATTAAAACAAATCCAGAGATGCAAAGCAAATTACCGCAGCATGCTAAAAAGGATAGGACTGGCGAGGGCATTTCAGACCGGTGTCCCACAGGAAAGAGGCAGGTAAGGTGACCATCAGTGCTAAACTGTACGGAGCTCAGTATTTTAAAAGGGCATTATGCAGAACCAGAGACATCCCGCGCTTCCACCAGCTGCACCCCACAGTGATGATGCAAGTTAAAAATAAAGTCAAGGAAGATTTGCATTCTGTCCCCGCGCCCCTCAACAAAAGGACCCACATCACGATGGTCGGCGCCCCTCTTCCGGCCAGGCAGCTGAGCTGACAGCGACTTTCCCTCCGGGCCAGTAGCCGGACCCTGTGGGGGCAGGACCTCACCTGGAATGTTGTGGATGGTGATGGCCAAGATGAGCAGGGTGATCCTCCTCCAGCTGCTGCTGCCAGGCTGCGCCGGGTTCCCTCGAGGAGGCACCGGTGAGGCAGGGCCCTCGGCAAGGCCGGTGGCCACCGCCTTCTTCCTCTGATAGGCCTCGCCGTTCTCGCTCTTGTCTGAGCAAAGAGAGCGGGACAGGAAGAGAGAGTACTTTGAAAATGTGCACACTGGTGCTTGGATAAGCAGCAGCAGGGGGAAGTTTTCCACCCTGGGGAAGGGTCTCCTCCCTAACTTCCTAACGGACCCCGTGTTCTTCTCTTTCTTCCTCCCTCCCTCCCTTCGCTTACTCGCTCACTCGTTCGGCAAACACTCACTGAGACACTCAGTGCCCAGTGTACAGGGCCAGGAAGGGATAAAAAAGATGAAACTGGGGGTGCCCTAGCAATGCTTATTAGGGAGAGGCAATATTGAGCGGTGATTAGGAGCTCAGATTCGGGAGCCAGGCTGCCGGGCTCACTGCTGACTCGTCCACTTATGAGCTGTGTGGCATTAAACGAGCTGTTTACACTCTCTGTGCCCTAGTACCTATCCCACAGGGGTTTGCGAGGATTAAATGAGAGGCTCCAGGCAAGGGCTTTGCTGCTAAGTGCGAGGCGTCACGTGTTCTCTCTCTCCCTACGGCATGACACCGTAGGTGACCCTGCTCTCCTGGTCATGCTGCCTTATGGGAACCCATCCACATGCCAGGCCCAGCCAATCAGAATCCCTCCCCGGGGACCGGGGGGGGGGGGGCGGGAGGTGGGAGACTGGAGTTGGGACAGGCCTTGTGATTCAAGTGCAGATTCTCAATCCAAAAGGTCACGTACGGGCAGCCTGACATCCCACGCAGGAAGGGAACAAGGAAGCAACTTGACAGATGATAGAATGAAGCAGATGCACACAGGCACGCAGAGACGGGAAATGATGCAGCAGGCCAGCCAGCCAGACGGACACACACACAGACAGACAGATAGACAAATGGCAGCCTGAGTGCCGCAGGACATTCTGATGCCCATGGGCTGACTATGGTACGCAGCCACTGGATTTCATGAGCTAACCAGCTAAACTTCCTTTCAAACCTTCCCCTTGGGGGATATATTTGAAGGGTGTCATTTCACAGGCCAAGAGGTGATGCCAACTACCCATGGTCTCCTGGGTCAGATGTGCGCATTCCTAACAGAGGGAAATGGCCCGGGTCTGCGGCAGAGCGCCCAGACCGCAGTGGTACGTCTGTGCGAGCGGCGTCCCGAAGGAGCAGGGTCTTGAGCAAATGGCAGACATGTGGGGGCAGGAATGCAAAGGAGAGTCTCTCTACCACGAGTGAACACAAGGACCTGCAAGTCATAACTCAGAGGTCATGGACAGGACACCCGAACGTGTTTGTAGGCTCCTCATCGTGAGCAGCGCAACCATACCTCCCAGGATGGGCTCGCCATCCCGGGGGGATGAGGACTGTCCCCTTTCACACTCAAAGCGTCCTGGTTTGGACAGTAAACAGTGTGGCTTCTCCGGCTTCAGGAAACAGCAGAAGCTTGACAGATACTCGGCTGTGCCGGGGGCCATCGCTTGCAGAGGTCATCAACTTGAAGGGTAGGAGGGACTCTCTGCAGTGGTTCTGCTTCCCTTCTCTGTAGATTTTCCATAAGCAAAGGAATTCTCATCTCTAAGCTGAAAGTTGCAGAAAATGTTTCCCAAAGTCAAATTAAGAGAAAACGGGCAACCGTAAGGACCCCTTTGGCCATGACCGTGGGCCTCTGGCGGCACCTCTCCTTACTTCTTTGGTGTAAAGCAAGGTAGGGGTCCTTCATCTTACCCTCTCAGGGGCTTCACTTAAAGACCAGAATCTCGCTACATAAACTTGGTCGGGTCTTTGATGCCCTTTTCGGATGAACCCGCCTAAGTGAACACTGCTTTCTATTTCCAAAACAGGAACAAAACAAAAATAAACAACAAAGCCAAAACACTTCGTTTGAAAATCATGTTGTGTTTGTTCACTCAAATCCAGCAGGTCAGCTTGAGGAGGAAGCAAGTGCCAAAGGCAGGCGGACTCAGGCTTCCCCAGGCCCCGACCTGTTCTCTCTCACAACAGCTGAATCTCAGGCCCCGGAGGGAGAAGGGGCCTTCTGTGGATCCTCCAAAATGCAGGAATACCAGCCCCCAAGCGTCAGCGGCCACAGCACATATAACCGGTCTCTGGCAACTGCTGGAAAGAGACACGTCCCAGATGCTGTCTGCACGGGGTGAAGCTAAACACACTCACTGCGTGGTCTCCACGCCATGTGTGTGTTCACGTGCGTGATGACGTACACACACACACACACACGAGCACAGAACTGTCACTTGGTACCTCACAGATCACACAGTCTTTGTGCACATATGCACATTTGTTTCTCAACACCCAGAGGGTGTCAACTTTTAAGCTGACAATACTTGACGACTCAGGCTGCAGAGGCTGGACAGAAAACTGAGTAAACATCTGGGACCTCAAGTCCATGAACACTGAAGATGCAAGCAAAGCAGGCCCGAGCGCTGTCCAGGAACTAAGCCACATGGTGGCGGGGGGCCGGGGGAGGAGGGCACGCGCCTTCCTCCCAGACTAGTCCGAAAATACCACCAATTCACTGGGCTTCCTTTGAGTACACACACCTGACCCAGCCCTCCAATGTGCGTTGATGGGGCGGTGGGTTTGGGATTTTACAATTTAAGAGAGAACAGACAGGGAAGACATGAATAATTCCTTTAAATCCAAGGGCAGAAATGTACACTGACAATCTCTGAAGCAGGCGCTTATTTTTGTCAGGGTCACAAAAGGATCGGACTCTGAATCTCCCGCAAATAATGCACAGAGAGCAACAGGGATGGGGGCACCGTTAGGGAATTCCAGCGGCGAACGATCGAGAAGCAGAAAGAGTTGTTAATGGAGGTAAAGCTGCACGCTCCGCCTGGGGGTCCCAGCATGTGAAAGCTGCCATCGGCGCCTTCCCTAGTGGGACATGGGGGGGGGTTGTGAACACCTGACGGGCTTGTTCAAGGTAAATAAGCCACCATTCGGTAACAGCCTCTAATGAGTCTGCAACAAGGAAAATTAGTCCAAATAAATCACTATAGAGAGTACAGATGCCTCCTGAGCAATGAATCTTCTTGCCTCTCCCAGCAAGGCGAGTTCAACCACTGTGTGCCAAGAAGCAGAACACCCAGCGCCGTGGGCAAAGGGTGACCACCTCATGGAGGCAACCGCCAAGCCTGGTGTGGGCCACAGTGACAAGACCCTGTGAGATTGGCTGAGAGGGAAAAGGTCCGGGCACTTTTGAAGTAGGATTGGCAAAGAGGAAGGACATTTAGAGATGGAAGAGTCGATGTCAGTTCAGAAATGCAAAATGGTGTCAGTGACATCAACTAATCGGTGGTTCTAAGAACTTTTCCTCAATCCTTCCAAAGGCCCCACAAACCAGAGATCATTCCCTCTAACAAATAAAGAACCGGAAGAGCTGAGAGGTGAAGTTAACTGGTCCCAGGTCACACAACCTGTCCCAGATGAATTCAGGAGACAAGCCAGGTCTTTGCCTGCAGAGGTGACCTCTTAACCAGGGTCCCATTGTTGACTTGGGGTGGGGGGTGGTGGAGTGTTGATCTGCTCCTTTGCTCCCCAAGAAGGGCAGTGAGAGCAGTCACTGCCGTGACATTTAGGGGCTCGAAATCCCAGATGTTTGTCGTGGAAATGTTCAGGGTGCAGAGAGGGTCTGGTGAGTTTGCATCCTGTGACCCCAGAGGTGGGAAAGGCTCTGTGGAGATCTCCTGTCTATTTTCATTCCCACTCATAGACAAACTTGGAAAGGATGCACAAAAATAGTGCTTCTTAACCCCTTAGCTCTACTATTTCCAAGTGTAAAGCAGCTGTAAGTAGAAAATAGCTATTAATACCAAGCACGGAACACAGGGTTACAATTCTTTCAGGAAGGTAGAAGAAAAGACTTCAAAACTGCCCATTATCCAAAGAGCTCTTTTTTTTTTTTTTTTTTTAATTTAGGCTCCAGCATCTAAGAATCCACACAAAGGGACTCACTGCTGGGGCTCGGCCTATCGTCCCCCAATTTCGTCTTTTCTGGGGAGGCATGGCATTGCTGCATTTGAGGACCACAGGGGAATAGACAGACCTGTCCAAGGCTCATTCTTCCTGCTGAATCACAGGGTGAACTTATGTGACATTCGCACAATAGCGCATGTGAGTCTCATCCCAGTACATCGTATTATAGGGCAAAGCTGTCCCTGGTGCTGTGGGCACAAGCTGGGGGACCACCACGAACCCGGCTGCGTGGGGAAGACCCATCCTCCTCAGGGTTTGACTTCCTCCCCGGGGAAGCGAAAGGTGCTGAAGTCTCTGGATCAGTGGCTCTAAACCATTGTGCATCAGCAACTGCTTTTGAAAGTACAGTGGAAGCTATGATCCTCTCTCCAACAACAACAACAAAAATACAATTTTGAAAAAATTTTTGAATCCTTATGGATTCGAGGACCTCAGACCGAGAACGTAATACAAGATGAACACTATGTTAACCTTTGGTTTCATAACCCATGGGCCCAGTCCCCCAGGGACACAGGATGTTGTCCCTCTGATGATGTAACCAGCCCAATGATGGAACCTCAGTCCCCAGTGAATGTGGCAACACTAATTAATAGATCACCAGCCATGAGAGCTTTAAAAATATCCCCAAGACATCAATGGAAATGATCTGGTTGAATTAGCACAAACAGGCAAATCCTCATCTGCAAAGCACAGAAAACTTCAAACCTCTGGAGAAATACCTTTTTTCTAAACCCCCACTTACAAAATATAAAATGAAGAGTAGTCAGTGATACATATTCATTACGTACTAGATATGCACAAGCAAGATCAAAAGACCGATCCAAAGCAGGGAGAGAGGAGGATCTATTTACTTAGATTTTTCCTTCCTTCTTGTTTCCCAGAGAATCAGAATGATTTGGGGGAAGAAATTCAATTACCATCGTGAGTGTGACAAAGCTTGCTAAGAATTTGGTCCTGTTCTTTAATAATTTATGGGATTAGCATGACCTCCTTTATGTAATTAATGCTTAATTTGAACATGAAATAATGACTCGACAGAGGGTAGGATTGGCA